AAGTCTTCCCGGAAGGTCCAATGAGCGATGCTACATTTAAAGTTTCAATTCGGTAGAACTTTCTTAACCTGGTAGTCCACCAATTAACGGCTCTCGCATATGCACTCAGAACTTTGGCTCAGAATATGCACATCTTTTTTCTTTTGTTTTTTTTTTCCTAACATTAACCCTGTTACTTATGCACCTCCCCAACATAGTTTATGTGACAGCGTCCGCCATAAGCCGGCTTGTCAACCTGAGCCTTAGTTTGTGTCCGCACCATTTTTCAAAATTTTTGAAAAGCATAGCTCTCAACTCCTCACAGATGGAGCAAGTGACCTTTTTATGTGTAGATATTGGTCTCTCTTCCAACCATTACGACCAACCGGCAATTGAACGACTTTGTAACTGTCTCTCATTTTGATGTCGTAGGTTTCTTTTTTGAATTATTTGATTAGCGTTTTTGCCAGTCACCTTCGTCTGAGGCTAAAAGCTAAAGAAAAACTGAGATCAATCCTTATCAAACAAATTCAGACCTCAGCTTAGTTCTGGTAAAGCCTATCACTATCCAGAGAGGTTGTGTAAAACACAACAGGTAAACCACCTCGGATGATGTCTAGAAGGAGACCGCTGACTTTTGGAATCCTGGATTCAGCGGTCTTCTTTCAGACATCATCTAAGATGGGTCACCTGCTGTGTTTTACAAGACCTCTTTGGATATCTATGGGCTATACTTGAACTAAGCTGAGGCCTAAAGTCGTTAAAAAGGATTAATCCCGAATACTTTTTGGCCTCCAGGCTCTGGCGAAGGCGACTGGCCGAGACATTGAAAAGATAAGGATAAAGTTCTCAGCCGTAATCAATCCCGTCTAAGGGATGCGCCCCGCATTCGACTTCCATTCGGAATCGTAGTGGCGTAATAAGTGCCTATGTGGCCTATACAATGACTTGCGGTGGCCAGCCAATGTACCCGTCAGTGCTTTTATCCTCCCAGGCAAGCTTGTTACCAATTAACCGATCCCGGAGGGATGGAAGGCTTGGTTGGCCTAGGCGGATATCGATCCGGGATTCGAACCCGTGACCGTGCGTGTGATATAGTGCGCCGCTTGCCCCTACACCACCTCCGCCCGTCGCCGAAACATTAGCCAAATAAAAATTGTTATCTTGGCCAAGGCTTCGAAAATGAACACCTACGACATCGAGAAAACATGCCAAGATCACGGGGTAGTCGAACATGGTTGCTTCTCTCATTTTGCATTTTTCGATATCGCTGCTAATTGTGCAGCGTCAGAATAATTGATGCAGAGTAACAGGATCAGCTTCAGAGCTCTGCCTCCGAACGTTAACAACGTCAAGCAACATGACGAGATCGGCTGGTGTGCCTAAAGCGGCGGGATTCAGGTATGGACAAGGTTCATGCAACATGAGTAGCCTTTCACGCCAATTTTTAGAAACTAGAGCTTTTTGTCCTGACAATGGAGCTTTGCTTGGTTGTTTGTTTGCCACCGAGCTTCTTCACGTTGTACTGAGAATGGGAAGCAGACATCAATCCTTCTTATTTTAAGCAGTTCATTAAACAATCCGCCGAATGGCCACATAAGGTCACATAATAAATATTCGTTGATGGTAGGTAAGGCTATGAGTGAAGTAGTCTAAAAATGTATCAGTGCTGATGTCTATGTAGTGATGGCAGAACTAAAATGTACGGCCGCTAATGTCCACTTACATCGAAAAATTGGTGATATGAAGGTGGAAATCATTGATCCAGCATTGATCGAGAAGTAAAACATAGAAAAAAATAACGAGAGCATCCTATCCTGAAATTTAAGTTTAAATAGGAAGCTGAAGAATGGACCCTCAGAAAGCTACGGTGAAAAGATCAATGGTGCTTCGGGTCCATACCTGGCCTATTTCAAACTGATCACCACCGAAGGCAGACACACAAGGTTTGATACCACCTGTTCCGAAGCCGATAATGATCAATCCTGCTAAATCCATCCATCTGAAGGTTTAACATTCGTGAGCTCTCCAAATACTCATGTTCATTTGTGAAATTGCTTTTGCGGAAACCAATTGTTTTTTAAGAAGCCGAAATAGCTGATCACATCCCACAACCACTGGACAATTGTAATCATTTGCAAAACTATTCGAGAAACTTTGGAAATATGTCTTTTCTCAATCTTTCAGCAGCTCTAGAAGAGAGAAAGGCGACTTTCAAACATACGGATGAATACTGGACTCTTTGTTGTTAATTGAAGCAACAGCCAGTATTACTTGACCGCAGGCGTACAGTATCGATACGAAGAAAATCGTCCTGAAAGAGCTTACTTTCTTCATTTTCAACTATGTTCCGTTAGTTCAGTGACCATGAAAACATGTGGAATATATATAAGCCAAATTCAAACTGCACTGCCCTTTACTGTGCATTGTGTTGGCCCACTGTAAGTGTTAGTGGCAGCTTGCAAATGGAAATGAGGAAACACTTTATATCTCGCGCATATCCGCTACGTCATCTCCTCTCTTATTGTCTGAACTGGCGAGTAAGCGGTATAAGTAGCGTCAGCGTCACAACAAGACCCTCCAGACAGGTCGCATGACGAATTCTACGATCACGTCGGTAGTTATTACCAATCAAGGCAAGCTCGCATCATAAGAACCGCGACGAAAAAGCTCGCCTTTGTTTGTGCAAGAGAGTAGAGGGCTATATTTGAGAACTATAAAGGTAGTATTTGAATACTTCGCAAGTTTTCAGACTACTTTGGGCTTAAATTGTCATCCTCTTTTCCAGTTCAGCGTTCAGCATAAAGCCTACAGCTCTCGCCGCAAGAAATCTCGAATTTCTGTGGGGAACTAAAATCGGCTGCTCAGTGACAATGCCAAAGCTTCATCCTAAAAGAGGTGCAAACTAAGGCATACCCTCAAGTTTTTTCGGGTTGTTCCGTTCTCTAAGAGGAAACTTGTAAGCGGTGGCTACAGCAAGTGCTTTGCAGAGAATTTGTGGCAGACAGGATCCCAGAGAAGTGCTTTTCTTGTTGAGTGGCCCTCAGTAACAGCAAAAACTATACAATGATACAATGATAACACTGTATTGGAGTTAGTGTCCTATACGGAGTATCAAATGATCATAAAGTGATAATAATGTGGATAATATAGGGTATTTACTAGATCAGTGAAGAACGTCCCTGGATGAAACATCTGTTACATACCATTCTCAAAATTGCGGAAGCCATAACAACGGAGCGAGTGCTGGATCTACAGGCGAAATGTCATAAAGCGATTTTTGGTGCTGGTGAAGTACTACATGAAACCTATCTCCTCTCAGAAATGCCTTCAATTACCAGTTTGAGCTCGTAGAGCTCAGTTCATGAAACGAAAGCAAATTTACTGAGACCACGGGAATATAAGGTTCCTGTCGGCACTTGCTGTATATGTATTCGTAAACCTGCATTCAGAAAAGTGTGACAAAATGAAGGTAACATAGTAGCAGTATTCACCAAAACTTTCCAATATAGCCGTCAGCAATTATTGATCCGAGTAAAGGTGTCAGGTAGCAAAGAACTGTAAAGCTGTTGAAGAAAATAGTCGACTGGCTTTCTGTGAATTTCAGCACATTGAGCAAGTAGAGAATGAGAACAGCTGAAATTTGCACTATAATCCGCCGAAATTGCCAAATCACGTGTTTGGTCATCTCGTTCCCCTTCTTAAAGGGGGCATCGCCCTTTTCATGTCGTACCATATAGAAGCGAGGGCGAGCACTGCTCCACGATTCTCTGATAGCGCTTATCAGTGCACAGCGCAGCTTATCAGCACGTTAGGGAAAGATCTGAGTGGAGTAGTAATCTTCTTTTACGGGAGCATCATATTTGAGGAATTTCTAAACATAGTCTCCGAGTATTCTGCGCTTGTCTCATGGTCTGCTCAGAAAGGATTACATGAAATAAGTCAGTGCAATTCTCCTGACCCACTATGAAAATCAATTGACTAGTTTCGACAGGCACTATCTGATTTCTTAAGCTCGCTTATGATGTTGTCACCTCATTCATAGATGTAGTAACTCATGGAGAAAACTTAGTTTGGGGTCAGTCATGATTGCTTTAAAACCTCCCAAGTCACACCGATGATACAATAAAAGCAGCGAAAAATGTGACTAGAGTTCCCTAAAAGCTCAGGAACAGTTAATGTTAGATAGTTCGCCCACAGATCATGTCTGAGCATTTTGTTCGACATTGAGTAGAGTTACTGAGAAACATATTGCATCTTGTCAGCTAGTGCTAATCAGTTCGAAAAGATTTCCCTCCCATTCACATGAATTCGTGCGTTCAGCCTCCCATGGATTTATTTGAATGGGAACCTTGGTAAATCCCCAGAATAAGTCATGCCTGTGTAGTCATGGATAACTAAATTGCTGCGTGGATCTCCCAACATAGTTCCCAACAGTCGGATTTTTTTGATCCAGTGATGACTTTTGAGCGGCCATTTTATGCATGAAACCACCTTGCTTCAAACAATTTGGCATTTAATGTTTGTTGCTAGATTATCAAACTTCACCAAATTGCATGGATCCTCACTTGGAAAAAAAAGAGCGCACATGTTCCCATATCACGTAAAGGTCTTTCTGCTTAGTAGTTCTGCCATTAACTCCAGAATCAAGCTCTCCTACACCTTGCATACCAGCTCCAACTTCCCATGAACTCACTCCTCATTCCATAGTACGAGAAACGTTCACAGAACTCGTTGGACACGATACAAAATGTAGTTTTCGGCCAATGTCGAAGCATTTCTCCCCATGATGTGTGTGTTTTCGTTGTTTTCACGTGTGGCAGGGTGATTTTTTGCTGCATCTCGATACCTGAATGGTGAAGATCGTTCCTCCTCGATTTCACGTAAAATGTGCCAATCATATTTTCAAGATAGATTCCAGATTTTAGGTTGAGTATAGTTCGGTTATATAAGATGCGAAAGTGATGGCGATAATACAGTTGTTAAGCTCGGTAAAGTAGAACATGGTCATAGCCTCAGGCTGCAAAACGAAAATAAAAAATGGTTTCTGGCCTGGCATGTATGCTTATAGACAAATATCTTTTTAGAAGCGTGCCAAAAGACCGAGCTATATAATTGTGAAGCTTCCACTCAATTTCAAAATAGTGTTTGAAGAACTTGATGAAATGAGTTTATTGACGTATTAAAATTCGAAGGCTTTGAAAACCGGAAGAAATAAAATACGCAGAAGAAAAAGAGTAGACAGATCTAACCTAATGTAAATGCAGAAAATAAAAATGAAGTGGAAGGAATTAAAAGCAGACTAAATCGAAACAAATGTTAAAGGAGAAACTCGGGAGTGGGAGGGACAGCTAGGAGTCAGCAAGTGTGAATCTTCTAAAAATTATCCATATTCTTCCAAGAACTACAAAGAATTCAGCTTTTCTTATAAACATGGGTACAGTTTTTGGTCATCAAAGAACACAAAACTGTTTAAAAAACGTAAAAATCACTATAAAAAACATAAAAGTCACTACCTTCGATGCACAACCGCTTTTCGTCTACCATGGCAGCCTCGACGTGTGGTGGCAGGAAGCCCTAATGAAAGTGACCTTATCTTTATCAGTGGAAGGACTTGAATGCAGCAAACAAGCGATTGTCGGGTATTATTCTTAATGCCTTCGTCATGTATATACGTACACAAACATACGACTGTATCAAAGGCTTTCTTCGAATCGATGAACGTAAAACATAGGGGCATTTCGAACTCTCGCGATACTTCCATGAGACTTGTAACGGTGTGGATGTGATCGATTGTACTGAACACTCTCCGAAACCCTGCTTGCTCGCATGGCTGTCCTTCATCTAATATTGTGCCAATCCTGTTAAGGATAATTCGTGTGAACAGTTTACAGATTACAGACAGCAGGCGAATTGGGCGATAATTGCCGGTGTCGTCTGGACCTAACTTCGTATACAACAACGCAGTTTTGATAGTTTTCCACGAGGTGGGGGCTTTGCTTTGCGACAGGTAGGTAAAGCGTGAATAGCAGAGCCAGGGATCTGACAATGACTGGCAGACGGCTCTCCAGATGTTCTGGTTTGATCGCATCGGGATCGGGTGCGTACCATTCCTCATCGACGTGATGGCGTGCCGAATTACGGAAAGGAGAACTGAAAGGACGACGTATCCGACTTGCCTAAAATGGTAGGTAGGCAGGTAGACGTGGCTGTCGTAGGATCAGAGTAGAGGTCGTAAACGACCGTCTCCATTGCCCTTCGAGATGCAGTAACTGCTCCGTCAGGACGACGGAGGAAAGTCATCTTGGTCTTGTAATTGGCGAGGCTCCGTCGGATTCGCGAATGCTCTTCCCAGCCTCGGCGGCTTCAGTCAAAACTGCTGCTCTTCTCTCTTTCAGATTTTCCTTTATCGCTTCTCTGCATAGCTTCGCAAGTTCGGACGTTAGCTGGTTATTGCTTGCAGCTCTCGCGATCCCACGCTGGCGTTTTAGCTCGTAAGACGCCTTTGAGGGTTTTTGACGTTTCTTGACATCTTTGAGACTTTCAGCTTTCTTGGCGCAATCGTAAAGATGTTTGACGAGCTGCTTGTATTATTCATCGATCTTGTCGCTGACGGAATCTTCCCACATTCTCGCCAATGAAGCGAAGTGATCCCAATTGACCACAGTCTTGAGGTTCGTTTCCTAATTTTTGCAGCTCTCTCTGAACGCACTGAAGAACGGAATCTAGCGGGTAGGAGGCGGTGGACTGATTCTTCTTCTTCGTAGAAATTCGGAACAACAGCGACGTCAGTCAGGCAAAACTTTCGATTGACGACGATGTCATCTATTTCATTACGGAACTGCCCACCATTGACTAACATGTCTGTCGGGAATTCATCCAGAGCTTCTGAAACTGCGAGTTACCATCGGTAGGGTGGGTCGCCATAATAAACTCGGGCAGCCTTTCACCCTGCTCATTCCATTCCAGTCCGTGATTCCCGATGTGGAGTTCTTCAGCCGTTCCTCTGAGGCAAGTTTAAACAGTGAAATCACCGACGATGACTTTGACGAAAGTATGGTCTTCTCTGTAGAGCTAGAGCTTCTCCATATCCATATAGTATGCCTCCAAATCTTCTTAATCGTAGCTCGATGTTGGCGCGTAAACACAAAGACTGTTAGAGCTGGAGTTGAGCCACATTCTAAATCGCAAACGTCCAATTTGGGTTGTCAAGCTTTCGTACGAAACGATGTTTATGGCCAAGGGCGTGTTGACGGGGACACCTACACCGCCGACGCCTCTGTTGTCGCATCTACCGAGGAACAGTTCTTCCCTAGTTTCAAAAGTGGCATGCAACGGGCAGTGCCTTCCCGTCCCGGTCAGTCCGATGATGTCCTATTTGTTATTCCTGGCTTGCATCATCAGGTCTTCTACAGTCTACGGTCTACACGCTTCCGATGCGAGTGTACGTGCACTGAGAGTACAGATCGCCATCTTACTCCTTCTCCTTTTAGGCGGCCTGTCGTGGCCGTGAGATTTTAGCAGCCTCTGCTGACCTGCATTGGCTCCCAACGCTGCCATATCGGTGACCCCCTCAGCCTCAGGGAAATGAGGCCCATTTTCATTACTGTTTCTGGCACATGGATATCCACATGTAGCTTGCCAGGCTCTAACACGTGGGAGTGGGCTCACTCTTAGCCGTATGAATGCGGACGTGCCGTAAAGTTATATACATATAATTTTTTTGTAAACATAATTGAAGACGATAATGAAAGCCGAAGCAAAGCTTCCATCGAACAGTAGAAAAATGCTGGTGAGAGTTTCGGACCATACAAGCCGACATCTGATGGTAGAGACGAAAGTATGTGATAGGGCAACAGGTTGCCTCCCTCTTGATGGGCAGATATTTCCCCGAGCGAGTTCTTGTCCCTAGTCCAGAACGAAGTGATTTAGACGTAATGTACCTGGGCATGCTGTGTGCAACTTAACGCGTGAAGAACGAATTCAACGATGACGTCGGGCGTACGGATGAGGGGGACTCAAGCGAGGGGGCCGCCATCCCTCTAGTTCCTCGACAACTACCTAACCACAGCTTCGAAGGCTTAGCGGCAAGCCGGTCAATATAAAGCCTCGCATAGCTGGAAATTAACGGATTTTAGCATTGGAGCACATGAAATACTAAAAACTGAATATATATATATCCTATTATATATAATTCGCTAGGTGCGCCGTTGCTTTGTCGGTGTGTGTTGGACCGGTTTTTCACAAGTCCTGTCCCCGTGGTGAGTAGCAAGGCAGAACCCGCTCACAGGGGGTATTAACAGTAGAAGCTCGGCATTTTAATAGGTGATTGTAAGATGAACGGGATCGTAGGTACTCGGTGACAGGAACTGATAATAACTGATAAAAAAAGATAGGGGACCTGAAAGAGGTCACCACCGATAAAAATCCTAACGTCTTTGGCATTTACAATGTGGCTTTGACTGTTCAGTATGTTTCATTCCATAAGACGGGACACTAGAGTAGGATGACAAAAGTGTGGGGGGGGGGGGGNGGGGGGGGGGGGGGTAAGTGCAGTGCTAGGGACCCATTAGCGGCACCACGATAAGCAGATGAAAATTCTGTTTATATCTCGCTATTAGATTTATTAGATTATTAGTCTGATAACACTTGCGACAAAAATCAACCGGCCGAAACTAATCTGAAACTTTCAACTGATGACATCTCCGTGAAGAGAAGGGTCCACCGATAACGACATATGGTAATGGTGTTTTCATCACTCGATACATTTGTAAGTACCGCCCAGATCTTTGGTTTTCTAACGGTTGAATTTTCGGTATGTATTTATTTTTATACATTTTTTGCACATTATACATTTATTTACTACGGCACTCCTTTCACTGACGGTTTTCTCTCATTGGAGGATTCCAGAAAGCTAGTAACGAGACTACGTAGGGCGTCCCCAAGTGTCGGGTAGGGGAATTAATGCCGACCAAGAGTCACCAATCCTTGCCCAGAGAGAGAGGGGGAGGGACTCCTCGATATGACGTTGGGTATTTACTCGCCAAAAACAACAATAGAAATGGGCCTCATCCCCCTGAAGCTGAGGGAGCCTCCGATACGGCGGCGTTGGGGCCAATACTCCTATGCAGTTGCTGTTAGAATCTTAGGGTCAAAACAGGCTGCATGAAGGAGGAGGACTAAGTTAACGATCTGTACTTTCAAGGCACGGACTTGCATCGGAAGTATGTATAGAAAACCTGATAAAGTAAGCCAGGAAGATCAAATACGACGTCATCGGGCTGACCGAGACGAGAAGGCATCGCCCGCTGCACGCTGTATTCGAGAATGGAGAAGAACTTTTCCTCAGAACACACGACAACAGAGGCATCAAAACGCACTTGGTCATGAACATCGATTCTTAAGAAAGCTTGACCAATCAAGTAGGACGTTTGCAATTAGAAGAGGTGACTCAAAAACAGCTCTAACAATCTTCGTTGACTACGCAACAACATCAAGCTACGAAGGAGAGGAGCTGGAAGCGTTCTATATTGATCTGGGGAGGATCAACAGAGAAGACCACACCTTCTCCATGACCATCGTCTGTGATTTTAACGCAAAGATTGGCCCTAGAACGTCGAGATTGGCAAGAAGCAGGTTCCGCCCAGTGGAGGCAAGGCCTGCTTGAAAATTTGCCAAATAGTCAAACATCCAAATTCGAAAGGGATACAGGCGCCAAATTTGGAGCAATGATGACTGGGGCTAAAAGTAAACACTGTCCACTGGGGGCAATGCAAATTGAAAATTCGTCATTTCGTATCGAGAGGGTTCAAATTTTAAAGGTATACAGGCGGCAAGATGGGAACAATGATGGCTGGGGCTGAAAGCAAATTCTGTCAACTGGGGGCAGTGAAATTGAAAATTCGTCAACTCGCAGTGAGAGGGTTCAAACTTTAAAGGTATACGGGCGGCAAGAGGGGAACAGTGATGGATGGGGCTAGAAGCAGATTCCGCCCAGTGGGAGCAAGAAGTGCTCGAAAATTCGCTAAATTACTCAGAGCGTTCGAATAAAAAAGGATCAGGCGGAAAGATGTTAACAATGATGGTTGGGGCCAGAAGCAAATTTCGTCCACAAGGGGCAGGGCGTGCTCAAAAACTGATTAACTTTAGTTCCGTTGAACGGGTATACTTTTTGTAATTACACTGTTTGTGAGGCGAATGCCTCTTCTCTTGTCACCGGTGGTGATTTCTTGGAACAGTGGTGCTTGCGTCGATAGATGTTAAAACCTAACATGTTTAATTTACTACAATAACGAAGAAAGATGACAAATTTAAGTGAATCTATTTGGTAATCACCCCAGTACCAATACTAATATTTGTAACGAACATAAAAATTAACAAAATAATTAGTATATCACTCCTTTCTCGCTAGTTTTTATGCTTACATTCAGTGATCATACATTCAGTGCTTTCTGCTCCACGCTTTCGAACGCTCCGTTTTTCCTGTAAATCAATAGCATTTGACTGAATTATTTGACCGTATACTAATATTTTGGACTTCCAGAGAAGAGCTTTCATGAGCAAGGGATTCAATATTGAAAGAGCCCCATAACAAACGACCGTCCTATGTACGTAACTGTTTACGTATGTACTGTTTTTACCCGTTACACCTCTTTCGCATATGCATATGTATACTTACCTTGTACTTATTTAACTCATCCTCTGATAGTAGTTCCTTTAATGGGGTACCATTCCAGCCTTCATAATCCCAGCCTGATAACACCTCTAACTCTGTGCATTTGGTCTTCTTGAACGCTTATATTGATTTACATTTAAACTGAGCTAATGTTTACTAATATGATTCAAGTCAAAGGTCACTAATATTGATACAAGTAATTTGAATAAAATGAGCTATATCAATCAACTAACTTCCTCTACTCCGGCATATTTTATTGTAACGTAACCGTTCTAAACTATTACTTCGGGAGCTTTGATTTTGTTATCCAAACAATATTTCCTTATCCGCATCCTCAGGTATAAGCTGTAATAATCATACTAACTTCAACTTATATAACAACTAATCATATTACCTCAGATTTCCAAGGTCTCCAACTTTTATAGTTTGACCACGTATAAGTTTTGGGTCTGCCTGGTTCTTCCTGTTCTATTCCATCAGCTTCTTCCTACCTTTTCTCAAGTAAAAGTCCCAGAAGGGAGATGACATCTCTGCCTTAAATAAATGTTCATATAACAAGTTCAGCTAACCTTGAATCTTCAATATTTTACTCTGAAAGAGGAAGTATTATTGTTACTCCCAGCGGACCGCACCCATCCTAATGGTAAAGTATCGGAATTGTTCTCATACCTTAATAAAAATAGTTTAACCATTATTACGAATTAATGTATGGTTACTCACAATATAACTTCTTTTGAAAATTTCTTGACTACGTCGGATAATCCTGCCCATGTTTCGGCACAGATACAATTCTCACGATTTTGGACATCACAGTTTGATTTACAGTTTCCTGCAACTTTTCCACTCGTCTGCATTGATCTTTGTTAGCGAAGTTGAAGCCTGGCTTCTAAAAACAGTCTATAATATGCACATATAAGATTAATAAGATACTAACTCACCATGGTCACAGTACAGAACTACAAGAAAGTTAAGACTTGTAAAGTTACTCTGCCTAATATTAGGTTGAGTAAAAAGTTTTGATCGGCCTTCGTCACTTTTTTCGTAGGACCGCTCGGAAGGACTTCGTAATGGGTTATGGTAGACCGATCCCTAACCTGTATTTTCAAAAGGATATATAAGCATCCCCTTGGAAGTGCGTCGCAAAAATGACTTCAACCTTCAACTGGCGTCCGAAGCTGTCTGAGAGCTATCGTCTATCACGAATTACTGTAAGGGCATAATCCACCGACGGCTGTCGCAAATATCTATGGTGCATCCAGAAGGGTCATCGTATCACAGCCCACGGGTGCCTCATGACGAAGCACCTCCAAGACTAACAGAGAAGTAGACTATGTCCGAGGAAGGTTTTACTGTGTCGTCGGTGGACATTCTCAGGGAATGCTCTACATTGGATAACTTACTGAGGGCTCCACCGTGACCGCCGAGATTTACGCTTTTCAGCTACAGAGTTTGGTTCACGTTGTTCGAAGGAAGCGTCCGCAGCGTGAAAGTGTTTGCCTTTTTCACGACAGCGCTCAAGCGCATGTTGCGAAATTATTTTGTCAGTAAATTGCCCAACTTAGATGAGCAGTGCTAACCCATTCTACTTATTCGCGAGGTCTCGCTCCGTCTGATTACCATTTGTTTCTTGCTCTGAAACATCACCTCCGCGATAGAAATTTTGACGACTGCCCGGAGTTCAAAGATGAGATCTCCAGCTTTTTCGAATCGTGGCCGCCACCCTTCTAGGCTTCAGGAGTCGAGAAACTGCCGGTTCGTCAGACGTATGTTTAGGACAACGATGGAGACTATATTACTAATTGAGGTCCTCTTTCAATGGAAATAAGACTTTTTAAAGTGAAGATTGGAAACCCGATCAAAACTTTTTACTAAAAATAACACATAACTTTTTATACTTGGGTATTGGCGCCAATTCTTGTTACACATTCTATTTGATCTCTAATACATTGGTCATAATAATAATACTAATTTTGATTGGTCCAGTTTTTTAATTAATTAATTTATTTTTATTCAATTTTTAAATTTATATATTTATTTATTTATTTGTCTATTTTTTTTTCTTGAGAGAGGGCCATACCTCTATAAAAATAGGGACTCACACCGAAGGGGTTTATAAAAGTCAAAATAGGCAAGAGGGGTCAAATTTTGGTGCCTCCAGTGTGAGTCGTTCCTTTGTTCCTTTGGAACAAGAAAGGGAGAGCCATCTCCTGGCAGCAATCTTGCCTAAACTTATGTAAGACCTCTCTCTGTGTAGGAGTTTGGCCACTCCTAAATTTAGATTACGGTCAAAAAATTATAACGCAGTTAGTGTTAATAATTACTACAAATGTACTAAATTCGAAAAGGTAAGGGGTGGGACCAATTACTATATCTTGCAAAGCTTTGGTTGTAGTGAAGAAGGTATCAAATGCAATAGAGATTGTAGAATATGCAGTATTACTGATACAAGTAACATTAAAGGTTTAAGTGTTACAGGTTTGAAAATACATACATACAAACAGGAGCATATTGTAAAATCAAAAATATTTTATATTGTCCAACTTGTAAAAGTGTAATGCAGTACGTCGGGATGACCACAAGAACATCAAAAGAAAGAGTTTGTGAAGACCTATATAATATAACATCCAAAAAAGGTAACACAACTCTTTACAACCATATGATGAATTGTGGACGAAGTTTTTCTGTTATGGTACTAGATTCTATAACCGACAATAATAAATCTATACTTAAGAAAAAAAAGAATTCTGGGCAAAATCACTTAATACTGCGTATTCATTTGGTCTTAATGATAATATCAAAGGATATGGCAAAATAACTAACGTAAGTAATTCTATTAATTATAAAAATACTACAACATATTTTGCACTTAAAATAACCAAACGAAGGATAAATAGAGGTAGAAAAAACAAAAGAAATAAAAAAAGAAAAGCCAGTAACAATTTAAATGAAATTCTAAATAAAATCTCCGCAGAATATGAACGGTTAGAACCTATTCACTACTATAGATTAATCAAAAGTCTAAACAAAAAAAAAAGTTAATAAATTAATAAGGTGCCTTTATAATAACCAATTTCTTCGTACGATCAATAATAAGGGACGGTTCATATTATTGTGTATATTAGCACACACATACTACGATAAAGAAAATGTTGGTAGATATGTACCTAAGAGCCATAATATCTTAGTCAATTTTCAAAGCAAAATATTAGATATGATCCCTTTTAATAGAATTCTAAACTCCAATTATATTATGAACGTTGTACAATCTAATATTGATAATAATAAAGAGTATTCACCTATCAGAAGAGTATATAAGTACAAAAATCCTATCTCTTCTAGAATATACAACTATAACAAAATACTCAAACAACTTACAGAAGAAGAACTGGAAATCACAATAAATAGAAAGTGCATATGTGAGGTATAAGATTACAATAAATTTATCAACAGAGACATATGTCATATAATTACAGGTGTTTCTGATTAAATTAAAGAGATCAGGCTAAGAGAAATAGTTAAAAAAGGTATTAAATATAGAATGAACCTTGGAATAACAAGAAACGAAGTCATAGAGATTCATGGTAATATTATTAAGAAGGTTATGCCGCACTACATCAAAAAATATAGTATTGAGAGAGAACAAATTGATAATATCACCTTTTGTACTTGTTATCGTAAAAAAGTAAAACCAATACTTACAAACATCGCAATTAAATATGATGATAAATTTGCACTTAAGCCTATATAGCGATATCAGAAAATTTTTTATCATTTGACCACTAGACAAAGCTGGCAATAACTATGGAATCATTTGTAAAAAATTATGCATTTTAACGCTTATGAAAAAAATGGGTATCACATATAATGAAAACAGTAAGTCTTTTGGTAATGTGTATACTAATAATACCTATGAATATGTTACTGCTGAGTCTATTATAATGTGTATACTAATAATACCTATGAATATGTTACTACTGAGTCTATTAAAGACA